GTGGGTGAATCTACACCACAGAGATCGGCAGAGATTGAGCCCTTGCTGAGGGCGAGACATACCTAGGGAGCAAAAGCAGGCCCCGCCCCCTTCCTTCCGGGGTTGACAGTCACCAAGTAATCCCCTGACCGTTCGTTAATTTCAGCCGAGAGACGCGCAGGCAGGAAGAGCCTCTGGGTTAAGGAGAGCCCCGGGAGCACACGCACCTGGAGCGGAGGCGTGCTGGTGACCGGCCTCCCCCAGGTGACCTGAGAAGGGGTCCCTGGAAGAGGCAACATTTCACTAGAGCCTGAAGGCTTCATAGGAGTTCACCAAGCAGATAAGACAGTGGGAGGGGGGGGGGGCCTTTCAGGCAGAGAGCTGCAGGTGCAATGGATTCGAGATGGGGGAGGGGATCAGGAGTGCTGGAAAAGTACCAGAAGCCCAGGGTGCCAGAGAGGGGGTGAGGGACAGAGGAGAAGCCAGCCAAGGGCTGAGTCGCATAGAGTCTTGTCATGTAAGGAGTCTGGGCTTCATCCAGGGAACCGGTGATGGATATTGAGCAGAAGAGGTCCCTGGGGAGATTCAAATGAAAACAAAAACAAAAAACCATCGACTGTCCTTTTCCCAGAACTTGGGCTTCTGCCGATGGCATTAAGCATCACCGTGAACCAGACTTGGGTGGTAAAGAGGTGGAGAGACCTGACCTCTGACCTGGGAACTCCCTTTGTGGCAAAGGCAGATGGACAGACCCGCCCACCAGTGGTGCCCACAGAACGTGAAGAGCGCTGGGTGGACAGTGCCCTCGGCCAAGAGGGACGTCCTCTTGGGGCCGCGCGGAGCAAGACGGACAAGGGACCCTCCCTCCACAGAACCACTAAAGCTAAAATAGAGCATACTTCCTCATGGATCTCCGACCTCACCAAAAGTAAGGGATATCCCCAAGTTGCCCTTATCCAAAACTAAGAAGCTGTGAGCTAATCCCAGAACAAGGAGCAGTGAGTGATAACTCAGTGTGGAAACCGGGGTCTGTCCTGGGAACAGATGCTGATGTCAGGACTGTGTACCGAGAGGTCAGTGTCAGGGCGTGGCACAGCGAAGGAACAGAGTCTGTGGCCCCTTGTCCTCCCAGGTCTCTCTAACAGGAACGAAGTGGTCCCTGCTACCAGGTATCATCCCATTCCCTACCTCCTCCTACGCCGGCAGAAGTAAATCCTCTCTGGAGGACAGCACCTGCTATTTAGACACTAGAGATTCCCAGAAGATCAAATCTGAGTTCAGCACGCACGCAAATCCACAGAAAAACACAACCAATTTAGAGCCTCCACGGCCTTTTCAGATACAGGAATTTCCAATACCAAATATAAGCTAACATGTAGGTCGTTCTTTAAAAAAATTAAGATGAGGGGCACCTGGGGGGCTCAATTGGTTAAGCATCCAACTCTAGATACCAGCTCAGGTCATGATCTCACAGTTCATGGGATCGAGCCCCATGCCAGGCTCAGAGCCCAGCACAGAGCCTGGTTAGGATTCTCCCTCTTGCTCTCTCTGTTTCTCTTCCCCCGCCCCCTCAAAATAAATAAATAAACATAAATTTTTTTTTTTAATTTAAGATGAAATCATGAGTAATCAACAAAAGACCATCTAAACAGACCAGGTGAACTTGGAAAAGCACCAACTTTTAGAAATACATAGTAACACTTAAAAAAACAAAACCTGGGGTGCCTGGGTGGCTCAGTCAGTTAAGCATCTGATTCTTGACTTCGGCTCGGGTCATGATCTCACGGTTCGTGGGTTCGAGCCCCACACCAGGCTCTGCAGTTGGCAGTGATGAACTCTTCCTGCCCCTCCTCTGCTCATGCTCTGTCTCAAAATAAGCTTAAAAAAAAAAAAAAAAACTTAAAAAAAATACATAAAATCCAAGGCTGGATTAACCAGCAGTGTAAATATCCGAAGAGAGGATTTTAAAAATGGAAGATAGGTGTAAGGAAATTACCCAGAATGCAGTGCTGGAAATGCTGCACTCTGGGAAACCTTGGGGAGAAATTAGAGTTTTCTGGTCCCCCACAATAGCCACTAGCCACACGTGGCAACATAAACCTGTATTTGAATTAAAATTAAATAGCGTCTTAAGTTCAGTTCCTCAGCTGCACCAGCCACATTTTGAGTGCCCGCAGTCATATGTGGCTAACAACTGTCACATTGGACGATGCAGATTATCCAACATTTCCACCATCGCAGAAAATTCTGTTGGACAGCACTAGGTTACACGAGAGGGAAGACAGAATTCGAAAGCCCAAATCCCAGTAGGAGAGCAAATGGAGAGAATGGAGAAGAGGTAAAATTTCAAGAGAGAATGCTCGAGAATATTCCAAACATGAACCCACAGATACCGGAAGCACAATTTACATCATTCGGAATAAGAAGACATCCACATCTAGCCACATCGCAATGAAACTGCAGAACCACAAAGGCAAAGACGCAATCTTAAAAGTAGGTAACAAAAAGAACAATTTTACTGGCGACAGCTGCCTTCTCTTTAGCAAAAAGGAAGACAGAAGACCGTGGAGCCACGTATTCAAGGTGCAGAAGCAGATGATTGTCAACCTAAAACTGTGTGGCCAGCAAAGCTCTCTGAAGGACAAGGGGGAAATAGAGGCTTTTCCCCCCACATAAACAAAAGTTGTAAGAGCTTACCACCAAATACTCCCAGAGGAAATTTTAAATCGCGTCCTTCAGGAATAAGAAAAATTACCCTAGAAGTAAGGTCTGAGACACAGGAAGTGATGAACCATGTAGGGAAATTATTCCGGGTCAATATGATCAGCAGAAAATAACCATGATGATAATGTCTAAAATTATGGGGCTTTTTCAAAGGACAGAATTAAAATAATCGATATGGTAGGTTATAAGTCAGAAAGAGTGATCAGAATGTTTTAAGTAACTTATTATTGGGGACAGAGCATTAAGATACGCTCAACCCTACGTTTCACATTAAATACGCGTACGTTTTCAAGGGAAACCATTAAAGAGTGGTTCTAGAATTCAGCACACATCAGAATCACCTGGGCGGGGGAGAGGCTTGTTAAAATGCGGATTATTTGGCCCAACATTCAGAGCTTCTGCTCCAGCCACCCGGGGGCGCGCCCCCCAGTCCTAGAATCTGCACGGCTAACAAGTCCCCACGTGCTGCTGATGCAGCTGGCACAGGGACCCCACTTTGAGAACCACTGAACCAAAAACAGAGAAACAGGATGCTTCACTTCCAAACCAACAGAAGGGGGGAAATATGGTGAGAAAACAAACAAAACCTTCCATCTAATCCAGCTCTGTCCAGCAAAAATACCGTATGAGTCACACATGTAGTTTTAGACTCTAGTAGACACATTAAAAAGTAAAAAGAAACAGGTGAGATGAATTTTAATAATATCTGATTTAACCCAATACGCCCCAAATATTAGCATTTCAACATGTGATCAATATAAAGATTATTGGGATTACTTCTTTCTTTGGACAAAGTCTCCAAAACTCAGTATTTTATACCGTAGACACTTCTCAATGTGGACAAGCCGTATTACAGGTGCTCGATAGCCACGTGTGGCGCGTACCTACCATACTGGACAGAGCCAGTGTAGACCGTTTGTGACATGAACTTGCAGAGGACAGAGGCCCCCACGCAGCCCCTGAGCACCCACTGAATGCCAAACACTGAGCTGAGCACTTTGTGTGGATGGTACATCACCTCATTAAGTCCCACTTAGGCCTATGAGATTAGACATTATCATCCCATTTCACAGATGGTAAAAGTGAGGCTGAGAACATTCAAAACACTCTCCCAGATCATCTGGCTGGTGAGCAGAAGAGCCGGCATTTAAACCCAGGTCTCTTGTATTTCAGTGCCAGCCTCAGAACCTCAAGTTTTCCATAAAGGATTTTCTGTAACAGGCCAGGTAGTAAATACCTTGGGCTTTTTGGACCAGCCGATCCATCAGGTGGGAGAAGGTAGAACCTCTTCTGCCAGAGCCACCACGGTCCCCCCCGTGTTCCAAAGGACCCAGACTGACTGCCTCTTGGCGACACCTCCTCTCAAGACTCTGCCAGGGGCTCGGCCAGCCTAACTCACCAACTGTAAACGTGAGTTATGCCCACTCTCAGGCTGAGACAGAGGGGAAATAAAATCCAAGATTGATGGAATCCTGAACATAAAATCTGGCATCATGCTGCCTGCATTTTGGAAAGTACCCTTAATTAATGGTTTATGATCCCTAAGACGCCTCCCTCCTCAGCCCCTCTGCAGTGTCGCCTTGGAGCTCCGTCCTGGGTGCCGGGGGTGGAGGAGTTTGCGGGGAGGACGTGGCGGCCAGGGGTGGGGGGGCGCTGATAGCTGTTCTCAAAAACCAGAATGTGTGGTTTGCTCGTATGAGCCCAGCTCAGCCTCTGACATTCCTCGAGCCTGGACGCCATAAGTCATGGGAGTTGAAGAGCCAGCTCTCGTCACAGGCCCGGGACCCCCTAACCACAGAATGACCCGCACACGGTCACACGCTTGGGAAAACGCACGCGCGGGGGGGGGGGGGGGGTTTGCTTTTCCTCTTTGCCCACTTACCTGAGGCTCCCTCTCCACCCTCCGCTCACTCTCTCCTTCCTGTTTACCTCTCGCTCCTCTCACTTTGTCCGTTGCCTGTCTCCTTCCTTCCTCTCTCCTGTGCCTCCTTTGTCGCCTTTATCTGGGGAGGCCCAGCCACACACCGCCCACCCGGGCGCCGGAGAGACAAGCCCACCCCTCGCCTCGCGGGGAGCCCCACCCTCCCACCTGGACCAGGCCAGGGTCCAGCTGGGACGATGCGTTTCAGCTGGGCTCGACACCAAGCGGGACCCCTGTAAGCACCTGAGCCGAACTCAAGCCACGTTTCATCCCAGGAAGGCAGTCCTCAGGGAGGGGCCCTTTATTCCCAACAATAACCACCTTCTACCCGGTGCCCACGATAGCTTCACGTTCAGAATCTATCATAGTCATTAACCTGGGAGGTAGAGAGTATTGTTTTTATTCCCATTTTATAGACGGGAAAACTGAGACTTGAAGAGGTGAAGAAATTTGCCCACAGCCAGGGTCTATTCAACCCTGAGGCCTGGTCTCTTTCCACAGGCCCGGTCCAAACGGACAACACGGGCGGTGTCTCGGAATTTCAGGTAACCAGATGTGGTGACGTTCGTCTCTCCTCTTCCCAGAAGCACGGAACAGAGACAGGACCCAGCCACAGGAACACAGGAGCTTTCAGCTCTCCAGCCCAGGGAGGGCACCCTGTTTGGGTGCCAGAGGTCAACACTGATAGGACCCAATCAGAAAGATTTCCCTGCAAAAGCCAAACCTGTCCTTGGGAGCCGGGGACCAGCAAGAGGGACACCGAGGCTGGGACCAGGCAGCTCTGTCACCAGGCAGAAACTTGGGGGCCCCCAGACAGGGCTGCGGAGGAAGCTGCTGTTTCCGCATTCCCGGGCGTCATGGCAACGTGTGCTCGGACTGGGGACCAGCAGCAGAGCAGAGCCTGTGCACCATTGCTGTTTCCCTGGGGTCAGGGCTGAGGCCTTCCATCTACCTGAGAAGGGAAACAATGTTTCAGTAGCTTCTCAAACCTCACCCATCCGGCACAGACAGGCGCCAGTGAGTGGGGAGTCCCTGAGTGCCCAGAGCAGCCCAGGAGAGGAGGCAGGTGGCAGGGAGCAGCAGTATCATGCCAACCTTACAGAGATAGAAACTGAGGCACGAAGCAGCATATCTGCCCACCCTGAATTAGGTCGCTCCGCCCAAGTGCCCTGCAGAACCAGCAGTGACATCTTCCTGGCCGGCAGCTGTGGGCTCCCAAGCGTCCCTGGCTGGGCAGTTCGAGGCCCCCGGTGTTGGGGAGAGAAGTTTCCGCAGAGCTGGATGCGTGCGTGGTCACCAAACTGATGCAGCTGTTTCCAAAGAGTTTAAGTGGCAGGGGCAGGGGAGGGGGTGAAGGAAAGCAGCGTTGTAACTTGAACAAGGTTTCTAGGCTGTGGTTTTCAAAACCACGTTATTCGCTGGGTCGCCTGGGTGGCTCAGTCGGTTAAGCGTCCGACTTCAGCTCAGGTCACGATCTCGCGGTCCGTGAGTTCGAGCCCCGCGTCGGGCTCTGGGCTGATGGCCCAGAGCCTGGAGCCTGCTTCCGATTCTGTGTCTCCCCCTCGCTCTGTCCCTCCCCCGTTCATGCTCTCTCTCTGTCTCAAAAATAAATAAACGTTAAAAAAAATTTTTTAAACAAAACCACGTTATTCAAACATAATGCAGTCAATGCAGGACACGTGGGAAACAGGAAAGTATGCACACATGCAAATACTCTTGCACACTCACGCGTGCACATTCACACACAAAACCATCACACACACTTATGCACCATTAACCCATCACCCCATTCCAGACAGACTTTTAACATTTATCCAACTAATATCTTATGTGTATAAATATACATATACACACACAATTATAGTTATACATTATATAGTCATATATATATGTATCATTTTAAAAGTACAGTGGTGGGGGTGGGCACCTGGGTGGCTCAGTTGGTTGAGCGTCCGACTTCGGCTCAGGTCATGATCACACGGTCCGTGAGTTCGAGTCCCACGCTGGGCTCTGTGCTGACGGCTCAGAGCCTGGAGCCTGCTTCGGATTCTGTGTCTCCCTCTCTCTCTGCCCCTCCCCTGCTCATGCTCCGTCTCTCCCTTTCTCTCCAAAATAAACATTAAAAAAAAATAAACGTTAAAAAAAACACAGTGGGGATTGGTTGTACCTGCTGTCTCGTGGGGCCTTTTTCACTCGGCAATGGATCATGAACATCTTCCCATGTCAAAACTATTCTCCAGTGATAGATTTCTGACCAATGACATATATTCCAATATACAAAGGTGGCATCATTCGTTCAGATACACTCCCATCAATAACCACTTATAGTTTCCTATTTTTTTTAATTATTCCAACTTATGCATGTTCATTGTGGAACGTTGATGACACACAAAAGTGTGGAAGAGTAACCTCATTCTTCCCGGCACCCACGCTCAGTAACTGTAAACACCTGTGTGACTTCACACACATTGTTTTAACCTTGTGCCCGATTTGATGCATCAGCATTTTTTTACATCGTTAACGGTAATTTATAATGCACCAGGCTTATTTTTTCTCATGCCTGTCATTTCTTGTGGTGTGGAGTTTGGGTGTTTATTTAACCCTGCTTTAGAGAAAGAGACTCTTTCCCCTCTCAGTCGAGTCTGTGTGAACTGAACTTGGCCTGTACATCAGGTGTTGTTGTGGCTGACCCTGGATCGAACAGGGCCGGGAGATGCTGGCAGGTAGACGTTTTTGTCTGGGGGGAGCTACTCCGGAAACAGGTTTCGGGGTGTTCAGGAAAGGAGCTGAGGCTCCATTTATCCTAAGAAACCAAATCAGCCCATGGCCAACAGGTGACTGCCATGTTGTATACACCAGCGAAAAATGGGGAACAATTCATGCCCATCGACAGGAGGCAGGCGAGGTAAATTAGAATGTATCCTCTGATGGCTCCTGTGCAGTCAAAAGCTATCGCAGATCTCTGCTGAGACGGAAAGACATCCTCCGTGGCATGAATGAGAACAGCGTCTTACAAAACAGAGTGCGCGTGGGTCTGTGTGTGTTTGTAAGCGTGGGCATTTGTGTAACCCAAAGAATATTTAGCTAAGCACTAACAGCTGCTGTCTCTGGGGGACGTGGGATTGGGGGCGATTTTCACTATTTTCATTCTTTTCTGGATTAAGTTTTTAAAATTCTTTTCTTTTGTGGGGTGGGGGGGACAGATTACTTTTGTCATGGGGGAGGGGCAGCAAAACAAAACGAGAGCCGTTTTGATTTGGCCAAGAAGACGCGCACGAGGGGAAGCCATCCCTGCCCTCCTCCTGCACCCTGGGAGTGCAGACTCAGGGGGCAGCCGGCCCAGTCCCTGCCCCTTCCCCCACAGCGCCCCCCTCCCACCCCGCCCCCCTCCCCAGCAAGCTTGCGCTTGTGTGTTGCAGACTCGGACAGCCAGTGCAGCCCCACGCGGCAGAGCCTCAGCCTGTCGGAGGGCGAGGAGCAGACGGATCGGCTGCAGCAGGTGGAACTGGTCCGGACCACCCCCATGTCCCACTGGAAGGCTGGCACCGTCCAGGCCTGGCTGGAGGTGGTCATGGCCATGCCCATGTACGTCAAGGCGTGTGCAGAGAACGTCAAGAGTGGGAAGGTAGGGCACCTCCGGGACCCCGGTGGGGACGCCCCTCGCCCTCCCATGAGCCTTAGCGGTCCAAAGCTGGCCTGCTCCACCCACGCCACCGGCATCCCATCCCCGGGTGAGGAGGAGCTGTGTTCTAGGAGCCGGGCTAAGCCATCGCGTCTCCCCTGGAAGGCACACAGAGAGCCCTCTGAGCCTAACCTTCCCGTACCTGGCTGGAGGGGAGGTGGAGACTGGCCTAGGGGGCGCTTTTGGCCAGGATGTGATTCCCACTTCCTGGAGCAGGGACAGGCCAAGTGCTCTGCCTGAACTGCAGAGGAGGATGGGCAGGGAGACGGGGTAGGGGGCGGGGTCCGAGGGGGGTGTCCAACGGGGGGGGGGGGCAGCCTCATGCCCGCAGACCCCCCCTCCCCCAGGCCTCGGCTGCACAGCCAGCGGCGGGCCCCGGGAGCCTCGGGTGCCCACCCAAACCTCCCTCCTGGGCTCAGTTCTCACCTCCCGGGGGAGCAGGTGCTGCTGAGCCTGAGTGACGAGGACCTGGAGCTGGGCCTGGGCGTGTGCAGCTCCCTGCACCGGCGCAAGCTCCGGCTGGCCATCGAGGACTACCGCGACGCCGAGGCGGGCAGGAGGTGGGTCTGCATGCGCGGCTGCCCCGCCTGGGCGGGGCCTCCGGGGAGAGGGGAGAAAAGTCTACCCTGAGACCCCCAGATCACACAGTGGGGGCAGGGACAGGCAGTGTGGGCTGGGCCAGGGATGGGGGATGGTGTGGTAGACCCGCAAACGCCACTGGCCAGGGAGGGGGTCAGGCTCACTCCAGTCCCGCTCTGGACCGGCCCTCCACTTAGAAAGATGGAGATCCAGGGAATCAGGGAGGCCCCAGTGCCCTGGGATCCCGGCAGCCGCAGCCGGGAGGCCTCACACGCCCCCAGGACTCCTCTGTCTCCGAGGTCCGGCCCAAGCAGGCCTGGGAATTCGGCCAACACGTCAGCTCTGCCTCCTTCTACCTCAACCCCTAGGCCTACCATTCCGGAGAGAGGAAAGACAGCATAAGGCAGGGAGAAGCAGAACGGAACAGAGGAGAAATGGACGTGGCTTTTTTTAAGTTTATCTGTGTACTTAGAGAGGAGACAGCGTGAGTGGAGGGAGGCAAAGAGAGAGAGAGGGAGACCGAGAATCTCAAGCAGGCTCCACGCTGTCCGCACAGAGCCCGATGCCGGGCTGGAACTCATGAGCTGAGCTGAAACCGAGAGTCAGACACTTAGCTGACGGAGCCCCCCGGGGGAGCCCCAGTGAAGGGCTTTATTGCAATCTCTGCGCACAGGATTGGGGCCGGCTGGGCGGGGGCTCCTTTAGCAAGCACACCTGGGAATGGCCCCAGGTCCCTCCCCTCAGGTGTGCCCTGCTCCCCACGGGCACCCCCCCATCTTTGTCCCTCCTCCTGACCTTTCGCCAGCAGGATTTGTTGTTGGGGAGCTCACTCACCAGGCAGCCTCCAGGAAACCAGGGCCGCCCCCCCCCCCCCCCCCCCAATGCTCAGCGTGCGGAGGGGAACGTAGTAAATCTGACACTTTCTGTTTTGCATAATTATCTCCTTCACTGGTTTCCCCATCATTTTTGCGCAGTTAATTAATCAAACCTGGTGGTGTGTGCTATTATTTGCAGAAGCAGCTTTGCGGATTAAAAAGTGAGGGGGGTTAGGGCCGGGGACTCGGGCTGCTTTGGAAGCAGGAAACCAAACGCCTGCCTGTGAGTCCTGGAGAGGGGCCCGTGGGGTGATTCCGGGGTGGAAGGAAGTACGTATGAGATCGGATCAGAAACCCGGGTAGCAGCTCAAAGCAAGCGAAGCCAAAAGCCCCTGAGCTTGTCAGCAAGTCAGGACCCCGGGGCCAGGGCTGGGGGTGAAGGATGGGGGTGGGGGAAAGAGCGGTGGGCACGAGCCTGCTTTCCTGGTGCTTCCCCTGCTGAGGGTCTCACAAGCACCTCACGCTCACCCACCCACTTCTAACCAGTGCCTCCCCCCCCAAAATCCCCAGAAGCGCTCATCCTCTGCCACCCCAGCTGGAGACCCCTCCCGCACCCTGGTCCGCTCCCGGTGTGGTCAGTAAGCACTGGCCATTGACAGGGCGGGGGCTGCCTGCTTCACCCGGCGAAAATGCCAGATCGCTGCCCAAGACCCCCAAAACGGGACCGACCCCTACGAACCTCTAGGAACCAAGATTCTACAGCACCTGGAGAGGGGGTGGCTGCAGGATGGGAGCAGAGTTTGAAAAATTCTGACGGCTGTGATCAGGCCCGTTTCCGAGGAGAACGCGTCCCAGAATTAGACACCCCCAGGGCCTCCCGCAGGAGGGAGGGTCTCGTTCCCTGCGGAATTCTGACGTGTCTCTAACTTGCCGTGACCTGGCTCTCTCTCTGGGACACGGTTTCTCCACCTGTGAAGCGAAGGGGGTTAAATTAGGACAGAGGTTCTTTTAACTTGTGGAGACCGGGGCCACTTTGAGAATCTAATAAAAACGGTTGACGCTTTCCCCAGAAGAGATACTACAAAACTGCTTTAACTTCGTGTCCTGGGACCCTTCGGCTCCCTCACGAACCGTTTAGGGGCCCGTGAACTCTAGGGTAAGAACCCCAGTGAGCTCATCTTCAAGAACACCTCCTGTGTGGCTCCGGGCATGACGTTACCCTCTCTGGGGCTGGTTCCTCTTATCTCTAAAATATACCAGTCGCCTTATGGACACGATTTTATTTACCCATCACCACACCCATGTGGGAGAGACATCCTTACCCCCATTTTAAAGACAGAGAAAGCGAGGCCCAGAGGAATCATGGGTGCAAAGTTACATTTCAAAATACCTAACTTTGAAGTCAATCCTCTTTCTGTTATCCTATGTTGCCTCAATGTTAAAAACATTGACCATCCCTACTAGACTTATTTGTGGAACATGGAATGTGCCCCAGACCCTGTGCTAAGAGTTTTACGCTCTCTTGTCTCTTCCAGCCCTCACGACGTCTGTGAGGCAAACACGATTAGCCCCATTTTACAGATGAGGAAACTGGGGCACCAGAGACACAAGGTCTCCAAGCTAAAGGTGATAGAGCTAGAATGGCCTCGTGTTTACAGTGCTGAATAATGACCCGGATGATACCTAAATTCTGTGCCCAAACTCGGATTTCAGGGTCTAATCCAGACCCAGCTTGGGGCGGGGGACAATGTTAAATTTTATAAAACATCTGAATTACTTTTAAAGCCATACCGTTTTCAACTCGGGTGCTTACAATAGCTCAAACCAACAGCTGGGAAAGTGTTGCCAAGCCGAGGCCCCATGGGGACAACTTTAATGAAAAGGGAACCGTTTTTGAAGGGCAAGAGTGCATTAATTGTCAGCATGCAGATAGATGTTGCTGACTGTAAATGGCTTCTCTCACGTAGGTTCCCCCATGCGCCCCCCCCCAACACACCAGCCCACGTCTTGTTGCTGAGCAAACCCTCGCTCAGGAGAGGAGGGCTTCTGGTCCCCATCAGGGCCAACCCTGGCCCCGTGGCATCTGATTAGGAAGGCTGGGAGCTCTAACTCCTGCACTGGGCAAGAGAGCCATGACAATGGCAGAGAGGCCTGGGAAGAACCAGAAGAGGCTGGAGCCCTGCCCTGGGGGGGGTGGGGGGGGGGGGGGGAGGGGGTCTGCCTGGGACGTTTTTTTCCTAGAAGGGAATGTGGGCCAGAAGTTTCCAGTTCATGGGGCGCCTGGGTGGCTTAGTCGGTTAAGCATCTGGCTTCAGCTCAGGTCATGATCTCACGGTTCATGGGTTCAAACCCCGTGTCGGGCTCTAGTGCTGACAGCTCAGAGCCTGGAGCCTGCTTCGGGTTCTGTCTCCCTCTCTCTCTACCCCTCGCCCACTCGTGTTCTGTCTCTCTGCCTCTCTCAAAAATGAATAAACATTTAAGAAAAAATTTAAAGAAACAAGATGTCTGCAGTTCAGGAGCTCCGTCTGGGCAGCCTCCTGGTGGACGGGAGTCAATGCCCCACTCACCCAGCTTTGCTTTGTCTCGGATGCACTGGATTGTAGAAAAGAAGCTGTTGACCATGAACTCTGAGCCAGGTGGGGAGCCCGGGTGTTTGGAGAGAGGCCACACCCAGTCCCACCCTCCAGGAGCTGACGGTGTGGTGGGCCGCTGGCCAGATGAACAGCAGGATGACACGTGCAGGGACGGGGGACTCCCGGGGGGCTCTGGACACTGAGAAGGGCTCTGACCCGGCACTAGGGGCCGGGAAGGCTTCTGGGAGAGCGAAAGCACAGCGGAGTCCAGCGTGGTGGTGGAGAACAGCCTGGAGACCAGGAGGCCCCGGCCTCGGAGAGCAGCCCCCAGTGGTCCTGGGGGGCTGAGGGGCCGGAGGAGGCAGAGCAAAGCTGGGAGCCCATCCTTCCAATTCTTGGCGGATCTTCCACTGAAAGCACCTGCTGGGTGTCGAGCGCTAGATTGGCCCTATCAGCAGAGAACATAGTCTCTGTGCTCAGATCAGTTAATTCCTAAAGTTCCATGTGTAATTAGCGCTTTGAAGGAAATGCTCAGAGGCAGAGCAGCGGGCCAGGGAAGCAACTCTAGACAAAACGGGCAGAGGAAGCTTCCGCTGGGAGGTGAGTGAGCCGTGGGCAAGGCTGGAAAGAAATGGGCCCAGGGAAAGGCAGCTCCCCCACCCAATGGGGCCAAGAGCTCAGTGCATCTGGGTGCCCCCTGAGCCTGCGGCTGTCATGGGAGAGGAGGCCACACCCTGCTGGGCGACACTAGTGACTCCTGATGTTATATCTGCAAAGGGAAGCCACCGTTTTGTTGTTCTGTTTCCTTGAGATCTACTCTTTGTTCCTTTCCCCCCTCTTTTACTGACTTTTTATCAGTTAAATGTTCCTACCCCTAGCTTACGAGCTACACTTCATTTTACTTTCCGTTGTTTCTCTGCAGTTTGTAATACACATGCTTCGCTTACCACTGTCTGTCTTTAAATAATATTATACAACTTTGCGTATAGTCGAAGGTGCTTTCTTCTCCTGCCTTTGTGCTATTGTTTTCATCTATGTGGATTATATGTTCTGTAATACATCGTCACTATATTTCTTGTAAAATGTCCATTATTTTAGATTTAAGGAGATTTGCAAATGAGAAAAATGTTGACCCAGATATTTACCATTTCCAATCATTTTCCTTCTTAGAAAAATGTTTGTACTGTGCATATTTACCATCTTAACCATTTTTAAGTGCACAGTTCAATAGTATAAAGAACATTCACGTTGCTGTGTGGCCATCACCACCATCCATGTCCAGGACTTTCCATCTTATAACACTGAAACTGTATGCTCACAAAAACACAATAAACACAAACTCCCTGCTCTCCCCTCCTCCCTGTATAATGGCAAGCACACTTCTACTTTCTGCCTTTATGGTTTTGACTACTCTCAGTACCTCCTACAGTATTTGTCTTTCTGTGCCTGGCTTACATCACTTAGCGTCATGTCCTCAAGATTCATTCATGTGGTAGCATGTGTCAGATTTTCCTTTCTTTTTAAAGCTGAATAATATGCCACTGTGCATATATATATATAGCACATTTTGCTTATCCATTTCTCTGTCGATGGACACTTCTTTTTTTTTTTTGTCGATGGACACTTCTAATGGAATTGCTGGATATGATAATTCTGTTTAATTTTTTTTTAATTTTTTTTAATGTTTTATTTATTTTTGAGAGAGAGAGAGAGAGAGAGAGACAGAGCATGAGCGGGGGAGGGTCAGAGAGAGATGGAGACACAGAATCCGAAGCAGGCTCCAGGCTCTGAGCCATCAGCACAGAGCCCGATGCGGGGCTCGAACTCACAGACCGTGAGATCATGACCTAAGCTGAAGTCGGACGCTCAACCGACTGAGCCACCCAGGCGCCCCATAATTCTCTTTAATTTTTTGAGGAACCACCATACTGTTGTCCACAGTGGCCACACCGTTTTAGATCCTCACTAACAGCACACGAAGGTTCTGATTTCACCACATCCCCAATAACACTTGTTTTCTGGTTTTTTTTTTTTTTTAGCCATCCTAATGGGTATGAAGTGGTATGTCATTGCAGAGAAATTTCCATCTCTCTAGTGATGAGAGATGGGCTTCTTTTTGTGTGTTTATTGGCTTCTTGTAAGTCGTCTTTGGAGAAATGCCTGTTCAAGTTATCTGCCCATTTCTGAATCTGGTGGGTTTTTTATTGTGACTTTTAGGAGTTCTCCTCTTTATTCTTTTGTGTGGGCCAACTTGCCATACAGTTATTATTTTCTTTCCTTTTGAAGAAAGTCCATCAACATTTCCTGCAGTTTATTCTTCTGATGATGAATTCTCCCAATTTTGTTTGTTTAAAAAAAAAGTCTTTGTTTCTCCCTCATCTATTAAATAAACATTAATTTTTTAGAGCAGTTTCAGTTTCACAGCGAAATTGGAAGGAAGGTACAGAGATTTCCCATGGACCCCCTGCCCCCACTCCTTCACAGCCTTCCCCATAATCCACGTCTCCCGCCAGATGGAACATTTGCTACAGTTGATACACCTGCACTGACACATCATGATCGTCCAAAGTCCATAGCTTATGTTAGGGTTCACTCTTGGTGTTGTACATCCCGTGGGTTTGGACAAACATCTAATGATATGCATCCATCATTGCACTATCATGCTGAATAATTTCACTGCCCTAAAAAGTCCCCTGTGCTCCACTTGTCCATCCCTCCCTCTTCCTAACCCCTGGCGACCACTACTACTCTTTTTACTGTCTCCGTGGTTTTGCCTTTTCCAGAATGACATAGAGTTGAAATCGTACAATATGTAGCCTCTTCAGATTGGCTTCTTTCACTTAGTGATGTGCACTTAAGTTTCCTCCACTGGGAAGATTTTAAGCAAAGGAGGGACATGACCTGATTGATGGTTTTAAAAGACTGTCTGGCCACTGTGGGGAAAAGTGGATTAGAAGGGGTGGAGCAGGTGGTGGTGGGGGGGGGGCGGGGGGGGGGCGGAAGTAAGGAAGCAGTTGCTGAAATCTGTGCCAGAGGTGGTGGTAGATTGAACCCAGAAAAGGAGAAAAGGGGACAGACACACTGACCAGAGTGATTGATAGACCCGGCGGGGGAGGGAGGAGGAGGGCAAGTGAGGCCCGGGAGCTGGGTGATGGTGGGCAACGGGGCAGAGCTGGGAAAGGGGACAGGGCATTTCATTTGGAGCCCATTAAATGTGAAATGCGTGACAGTCAGGAAATGCTAGGAGGGCAGTTAGTGAGAAACTGGGTCTCAGAAGACAGGAGAGGGGAGAGATGAGAATTTGGGAGTCCTCATTTACAGATGTATCCAGAGCCCTGGAAATGATGCCACCAGGGAACAGAGAGCACAGGGGAGAAGAAGGAAAGAAAGGGGCCACGAGATGAGGGGAGACGTGCCCATTACACCATCCATCCCAGGCACAGCAGTCAGTAGCTGCTAAGCGCATATTGGTGGAATGAAGGAAGGACAGCAAGGAGCCAGGCAGGAGCACCAGCAGGATGGGTGGTGTGGTCGGCCCCGGCTGCTGTCCTGGGGAAGGGACTGGGGAGGGCTCAGAGTCCAGGGAGAGGCAGGGTTGCCCACAGTGGGCGGAACAGAGTGGAAAGGAGGCAGCCGAGTCAGGTGGGAGTGAAAATCCCACCCAGGTCTCCAGCTTGAGTGGCTGGTAGGGTAGCTCTTAGAGATGGGTGCACAGGGAGGGGGCTGGAAAGTGGGTGAGGGGTGTTCCATCCGGGGCGGGGAGGGGAGGATGCTGGTCCCAATCCCGGACCTGGGGAAGGGGGCGGTGTCTCCCCGTGGGCCCACATTTCCCTATAACATCCTGATCCCTCTGTAGTGGACCCGCCCACCTGGCAGCCCCGGGGGTCATTTCTCCAGTCCCTCGGTAGGCGGGCTGGGCTGTGCTAATTCCTTCTGTCCCGCTGCCACCGTGTGGCGATTAGGGGAATGACAGCCGGAAGGACCTCTTGGTCCGGAGCACGCGCCTTTTTATCCGTTTGAGTCTTCGTTGTGCACCTACTATGTGTGCAGCACTGAGCTAGGTTCTGTGTGGGATACAGAGGATCTGAGGCCTAGCAGTGAGGTGAGAGGGCTTGGAGTGGGCAAAACGGGGGATTTAATTCTGATTTCAAGACACGCCACGGTGTGACTTTGAGGAGAGGCGGCCCAGGCCGTGGCTTTGCAGGCTTCAGGGCTTCGGCAGAGGGACATTCCCAGGGGACCGTGCCCAGGGACAGGCTGAGGATGCCGAGGGCTCCCAGAGGTGCTGCTTCCCACTGCGCATGTCCCTGCTGCTCTGCCACTGTCCCTTCCCACTCAGCGTGTCTGAATGTGCTCTCTCTTCTTTTCCTGTCCCCTTTGTCTGCCTCTCTGTTGATCCTTTTTCTGCTCTTTGGGGGCTCGCTCGCTGTTTCTCTGTGTCTGTCTTTCTGTCTGTCTCTGTCTCCTCCCGCCCCCTGTGCCCACCTCTCCCCCCATCTCTGCTTTGTCTCTCTCTTCCTGTCTCTTCAATCCATCCCTTTTCCCGTCCGTCTCCCCGATTTCTTGGTCCCCCACACTCCCCCGCCCTGTTGTTTTCCCTCTATCTTCGTCTCTGCCCATCTCCGCCCCGTTTCTTCCCGTCGCTCTGTTCCTGCCACCTGTCCCCCGCCCATCCCTCTTTCTGGCCATGTCTTTCCTCGCCAGCCTGTCCAAAGCTGCCGACCTGGACCATCACTGGGTGGCCAAGGCCTGGCTGAATGACATCGGCCTGTCCCAGTACTCTCAGGCCTTCCAAAACCACCTGGTCGATGGGCGGATGCTACACTCCCTGATGAAGCGGGACCTGGAAAAGCACCTGAACGTGTCCAAGAAGTTCCACCAGGTCAGCATCCTGCTGGGGATCGAGCTGCTGTACCAAGTGAACTTCAGCAGGGAGGTGAGGACCAGGGCAGGAGGTGGGGGCACCTCCCACAGCCCTTCTTCCCACACTGGTGCCCACTGTCTGTCCACCCGACTACCTGCCCATCGCTCCATCCACACGCATCCATCCGCCCCTTCCTCACTCCCTCCCTCTTCCAACAACCGCTTGTTGGGCATCATCAGGCCCGGTGCCCAATTCAGAGGAAGTGGGGAACCCTCATCCAAGAGCTCACTGCTGATCAGGGAGAACCACATAGAAGCTGGAGCCACAATACCATGGAAAGTTGCCCCGGTGAGGAAAGCCTGGGGCTTTATGAAAATCCAAAGGAGTCGTTTCCAGAGGAATCAGGGAGGGCGTCCCGGAGAGAGTGACAGCTGAACTGAGGCCTTGAACAGGGAGGCCAGGTAGGCAACCGGACAGCAGAGGGGAAGGGGGGAGAGTTAGAGTTTGGACTCTGAGCGCCCCCTTGATTCGGAGCCCTGCCAAGCCGGACGGCACGGGACATGCGCCTCAGCTCCCCGGGGACCAAATATCCCTGAGGGAGGGGCCCTCAGCTGCGGAGTGGAATCAGTTCAGATGGTTTCCTTTTCTTCGAATGTGACGTCAGAGCACAAGAGCTGGGGGTCAGGAGGAGAGGCATAGAAAAGGGCGCCGTCCAGCTCTCCAGCCCTTCGCGCACGCCCAGCACAGGACCCGAGGCACAGGCCCCGGGCCCCCGGGAGCCCCAGGCTGGTGAAGGACGTGGATGTGCAGGAAGATCGTGAGAGTCAAGTGTGGAAAAGGGCTTGGTGCACTGGGGCTGGTCAGGGCAGGTTGGAGAAATCCATGGGCCAGCGGGGGGCAGAAATCCATGTGTCCACCCCCAGCCCAGGAGTCCTTGTCTGGGAGCCAGTCTCCCCAAGGGGGCTTGCGAAAGGGGACCAGGCTGATCCCTCTACAGGCCGCCGTGGGTGACGTTTTGTGCCTGGGTGACACTCGTTGCCCCCAGGGGCCGGGTGGACCCACAAGAGACCCAGCCCCTCATGGAAAGGCCACACTGTTGGGCACCCACTCTGTGTCAGGAGAGCGGCGGACAGGGACGCACAAACCAGGCAGCCTCTGGGGGGCTCACCCAGCCCTCCACCCCAGAAGCAGGCTTCTCCCCATTTCCCATGATGAACGGCCGAGCCCCAGCCTGACGTGGCCAGAGAAGCTGGGGCTCGCCGGCCAGAACTCCCCCCTGTACTGTCATACCAGGGTCCCCCCAACACGGCGGACCCTCGCTCCTTGTCATCTCTGTGTAGCCACCCCCCCCACCCCGACACACCAGCTGACCCACTGTCTTCCCCCCACAAGGCCCTCCAGGAGCGCCGCGCCCGCTGCGAGACCCAGAACATAGACCCCGTGGTCTGGACCAACCAACGGGTGCTCAAGTGGGTGCGGGACATCGACCTGAAGGTGAGAGGCGGTGATGGGCTGGGGGCGACTCGCAGGCATGTGCCAATCCCATGCACGTTTGTGTGCCTATTTTGTGGGAGTGGGGTGTCCGCCCAGGCTGCCGAGAGTGCCTGCCTCCTGTCGCTCAAGAGGAGGGAGCGCTCACCCCGCCCCCGCAGCGGGACCCCCATTAATGATGCCTTTCTCGTAGCAGGAGTGGAGAGGCTGGGCTGTCCCCTGAAGCCTGGGTCGGGTTGGATCTGGGTTTCTCTTCTCACTGGACAAGTATTTATGGGCTGCCTGCCAAGGTCTGGGGATATGTCAGTGACAAAATAGTCTTGGTGACCGTCCTCATGGCCGTAAAGGAGTGAGGGGATCCCCCTTGGGCTTCAACTGACCGGTCCCCAGGGAGACAAGCCTTTGCTGTGAGGGACATGTCCCCACTTGCAGCTGAGGGCACCTCAAGCCGGCAGGGCAGCCTCAGGACAACAGGGTGGCCCCCTCAGACTAGCAGGGCAGCCCCCCAAGGCTGACCAGCCCTGTGCCTCGCCCTCAGGAGTATGCAGACAACCTGACCAACAGCGGCATCCACGGTGCTGTGTTGGTGCTGGAGCCCACGTTCAATGCCGAGGCCATGGCCACTGCCCTGGGCATCCCCAGCGGGAAGCACATCCTTCGGAGACACCTGGCAGAGGAGATGACTGCCGTCTTCCACCCAGCCAAGTGAGTGTGGGCTGCTGGCTCCCGCTCTGGGGCTCGAGGAGATGAGCCTGACTTCCCCAGGGCCCCCTCACTTCCCGCACCCCCTTCTCCCCTACCACACGGAGGCCTCCTTTGACACAGAGGAAACTGGGGCTCCGAGAAGCAAGGTGCTTTAGCGTGAAGGTCACAGAGGAGGGGTCAGGTCTTGAATGAAGTGTGTGGTGAAATCCCCAAACTCCCCCGGCATTTAGGGAAGGGAAAGTGAATAGCACAGGTGTAAGGAAAGACCCTTCGAGGGTGGGGTGTGGGCTGGGGAGGACTCGCACCGGCCGGAGAGGTCAAGGTGGCCAGTCGGGCAGGGAGAGCTGTGGAGACGGAGGTTTGGAGGCGGCGATCGAGCAGATTGATGGTGCTGATGGTCCCGGGGAGCAGGCTGTGTCAGCCCACCGACCCCAGCCTCCTCAGCTGAAAAGTGGCCAGAGAAGAAGCACCTGGACAGATGACCCAGACCCCCTCCCAGTGGATTCTGTCCGCAAAATAATTACCGTTAGGCTAAGGTTTATTGGACACTTGCTATGGGTACTAATTTCATCCTCGTGACAACACCAAGAAGTCAGTGTCACCAACCCTCCTTTGAAAATGGAGAAACTAGGGGCGCCTGAGTGGCTCAGCCGGTTGAGCGTCCGACTTCGGCTCAGGCCACGATCTCTCAGCCAGCGAGTTCGAGCCCTGCGTCGGGCTCTGTGCTGACAGCTCGGAGCCTGGAGCCTGCTTCAGACGCTGTGTCTCCCTCTCTCTCTGACCCTCTCCCGTTCATACTCTATCTCTCTCTCTGTCTCAAAAATAAATAAACGTTAAAAAAAATTTTTTTTAAAATAAATAAATAAATAAATGGAGAAACTTGTTCGAAGGGGCCAAGGTCCCTGCCCCAGGTCGCACAGCTAGAAAGTAGCAGAGCCCAGATTTGCCCTTTGTTCTGTTAATATGACATATTACATCGACTGATTTCCATACGTTGGAAACCTTGCATTCCTAGGATAAATCCCACTTGGTCGTGGTGTATATTCCTTTTCATATGTTGCTGGACGAAATTTGCTAGCATTTGCATGAGGATTTTTGCATCTGTATTTATATATTTTTTAATTGTTTAAGTTTATTTATTTATTTTTGAGAGAGAGCGTGCACAAGTGGAGAGGGGCAGAGAGAGAGGAGACACAGCGTCTGAAGCAGGCTCCAGGCTCTGAGCTGTCAGCACAGAGACCGACGCGGGGCTTGAACTCACAAACCGCGAGATCATGACCTGAGCTGAAGTCAGGTGTTCAACCACCTGACTAACCCAGGCACCCCATGCATCTATATTTATAAAGGATGTTGGTCTATAGAGTTTTTTTTTTCTTGTGATATTTTTGTCTGGTTTTGGTATCAGAGTAATACTGGTCTCAAAGGTTAAATTGGGAAGTATTCTCTCCCCTCTTTTTTTTTTTTTTTTTTTTTTTTGGGAAGAGTTTGTGAAGGATTGTTTTTCATTATTCCTTAAACATTTAGTAGAATTCACTGGTGAAGCCTCATGGTCCCGGACTGTTCTTCGGGGAATTTTTTTTTCCCTACTTCAATTTTCTTTGTTACAAACCTATTCAGAATTTCTATTTCTTCTTGAATCAGTTTCAGTAGTTTATATCTTTCTAGAAATTTGTCCGTTTTGCCGAGGTTAGCTAATTCGTTGGCATGTAATTGATTATATAATCACTTCGTGATAGCCTCTCCTATTTCTGTAAAGTTGGTAGTAATGTCCCCTCTCTCATTCCTCGTTTTAGTAATTTAAGTCTTTACTCTTTAATTGTCGGTGAGTCTAGCTAAGGCTGTGTCCATTTTGCTGACTGAGCTCAGATTTGAATCGGTGGCTCTCTGAGTCAGAACCCCGAGTGCCGAACCCCCAAACCACACGAAGCCTCAAGAAGCAGCTGGAACACACCCTGTGTTATGCAGGTGGAGACACTGAGGCTTAGGGGGTGGGGGGAGTCGTGTATTAGTGGCGACAACCCAGAAGTCCCGAGTTGCCCTTCCCCATCAGCAGGCTGATACCGAAGTGTTTCTCAGAGCGTGGTCCATGGACTCCTGCAGCAGAATCATCATTGCCCTTGTGAAATGCAGATCCCCTGGCCCTGACTCAGATCTGCAGGACCCTTATCTGCTGGTAGAGCCCAGGAATGTACGTTCTGAGCATTTTGAGGTAGTTCTATGGAGACCAACGTTTGACGAGGACCCTATTCCATGAGCCGTACATCAACAGGTGCAGGAAAAAGGCTTTTCTCCTAAGAATTGTCCCCTTCCCTAACCTCCCTTCTGGAGCATTGTGATCTGTAATGGCCTTAATACATTCTGAGCCCTGGAGGGGCAGCACTAGCTAAACATTAGCAGGCACTCATGTGTCTGATTAAACCCTTGAGCACTCCTGAGCTAACAGGTGCATTAAAAGGACTGTCCAGGATTTGAGGCTGAGCACTGGGGAAGTTTCTGGTGGGGAGCAAATAGGGTGGGTTCTTATGCTGTGGACAGGCCAAAGACTCCTTTAAGAACAAGGTGAAAGTGGGGCACCTGGGTGGCTCAGTCGGTTAGGCATCCGACTTCAGCTCACGGTTCATGGGTTCGAGCCCCGCATCGGGCCCTGTGCTGACGGCTCGGCGCCTGGAGCCTGCTTCGGATTCTGTGCCTCCCTCTCTCTCTGCCCCTCCCCTGCTCGCACTCTGTCTCTCTCCCTCAAAAATAAAATGAACATTAAAAAATTTGTTTAAGAATAAGAGGAAAGCAATCCTTCCTGATAGCAGGATAAGGAAGAGAAAAGTGGACTCTTCTCATCTTACAGGCAAGGAGTCGGAGCTGGTCAGCCAGGGCACTGAGAGGCTCCACCAGCCCAGACCCCAGGCCCACCTCCCTGCTGTCACCTCTGCACCATGCTGCTTCCTTCTGTGTGTCCGTCCATGGCCCGTGCATCGGGTCTCGGTGTGGCATCTGAGACCCCTTTGCTGAGAACCTGCCACAGCCCAGGGGAAGAGATTTCAGTCAGCTTAGGGGAAACAGAACTTCATGAGTTTCTAAGAAATTCTGGAGACCACCCCTGTTGGTACAAGTGTCCCCAGCTAAGCAGAACACCAGTGGAGACGGTGACCCCCAGGCATGTGGTGAGATGCGTGGGAGGGTCGGATGGGTTTATATTAACCAAGATCCTCGGGCTTTGCCCCAGGACATCTCAGCGGTGGCCCAAGCAGTGAAACTGCCCTGCCCATTGCCCTCTTGCTCCCTGTCCTTCTGTTGCTGACTTTAGCTTTCCAGAGAGAGGGGGCAGGGCAGGTGGTGCTGGTCCTTTGGGGTGAGTTCTTCCAGAATACTCTGATGGGGTGGAAGGATTCAGATGGAGAAACATCCCTGACCATTGAATAGATACCAAGGGCTAACCCGAGACTCCATCCCGGATTGAATCCAAGGCTTGGGGGGACCAGGTGACGGTTGTGGGAATAACACTTGGCAATTTGACTTGCAAGTTATCACCAGCAAAGTTCTGTCTCATTCCTTATTTCATCTGATCCTCGTCCCTAAGAAGGAAGCTGGATGAGAAGGGATCATTGTGCCATTTTTTAAAGTTTATTTTTATTTATTTTCAGAGAGAGAGATAGCAAGCAGGGGAGGGGCAGAGAGAGCAGGAGACAGAATCCCAAGCAGGCTCCGAGCTCTCAGCGCAGAGCGCGACCCGGGGCTCAATCTCACAAACCGCAAGATAGTGACCTGAGCTGAAATCAAGAGTTGGACGCTTAACCAACTGCGCCACCCCAGGCGCCCCAGATCATTGCCCCATCGTATGGGTGAGAAAACTAGCTTCAGAGAAGTGCAGTGGCTCCGTAAGAGTAGCCAGTGGCCATGCCAGTGTCTCCCAAGGACCCAATGGCTTTCCACCATGCTGGCAAGTTTACGGGGGTGCTGACGAGCACCTGCTCCCACTCCCCAGTAGACCCTGAGGCCCTGTGACCACTTAGAGAGGAGAGGGGGCAGGCCGCTCAGAGCACATCAGGAGGCTGCAGTCACCCCATACTGTGGCCCAGGGCCACGGAGTCAGGGAACATTAGCATCCACACCTGACCCCGGGAGAGGCACGTTCCCGGCGTTACTAAGTCCCAACATGACATCGTCTTCTCCCGCCTCCTCCTGTCTCTGTGACAAGACACACACCCAAACGAGCAGTGTCTCACATCCTCTCGCGGCATCTGCCCCGACACGCGCCTCCTGCTTCTCCTGATAAACCCCCGTCCAGCACCAACTGTGTGTCAGTCCTCTGTGAGTTCCAGATCCGGAGAAATAAACCAGGGGACAAAAAGGATGCAGGGAGTAGCCGTGGTGTTCCAAAGGCATTCGCTGCAGCCCCGGAGCAGCCAAATGGAAAGTCTGCATGGAAATAGGGGACTGTCCCCAGCGTCGGCCTGGAGGATGATACAGCCCGTCACTAACATACATAGAGTCAGGGACAGGGATGGGTCCTTCCAGAATGCCCACTTATATTCTGCTTGGATATGAGGTCAGAGATGGAGTTCTCTGCATTTTTGTTTAATGTGTATTTATTTTGAGAGAGAGAGAGACAGCGTGAGCAGGAGAGGGGCAGAGAAGGAGGGAGAGGGAGAATCCTAGGCAGGCTCCATGCTGAGAGCCTGACCCGGGGCTCGAACTCACAAACTGTGAGATCACGACCTGAGCCAAAATCAAGAGTCTGTTGCTTAACCAACTGAGCCACCCAGGGGCCCCCAGAGTGTCCCCTAGATCTCTGAAGCAGCAAACTTTGTATCTTCTTACTCATTCCCGTTCTATGGCCTCATGACCCACAGTCCAGAGGTTGCCATTTTGTTTCCAAAAATGGAAGAATCGGCCAACATCTCCCTCTCCTCCTCCCTTCTCCTTCCCTCCTGCAGAGGCAGCTCTAGGGTGCGGTCATCAAACTGCCACAGCCACTGGCTGCCCTCTGCCACGGGCCCGGCTCA